CCATGGGATCGCAAAGATTTGGACATGACTAAGAGACTGAACTGAACTGAACTGTACATAAGTTTCCATGTTACCCTTTCCGTACATCTTACCCTGTCCACCCCTCTCCCCATGTCCATAAGTCTATTCTCTATATCTGTTTTTTCATTGCTGCCCTATAGTTATTTCTTCAGTATCATTTTCCTAGATTCCATATATATGTGTTTGAATATGATATTTATCTTTCTGTTTCTGACTCACTTTGCTCTGTATAATAGGTTATAGGTTCATCCACCTCATCAGAACTGACTCAAACGTGTTCCTTTTTTATGACGGAGTAGTATTCCATTGTGTGTATGTACCACAATTTCTTTATCTATTCATCTGTCAATAGACTTCTAGGTTGCTTCTATGATCTAGCTATTGTAAATAGTGCTGCAATGAACAATGGGATACAAATGTCTTTTTCAATTTTGGTTTCTTCAGGGTATATGCTTAGGAGTGGGATTGCTGGGTTATATGGTGGTTTTATTTCTAGTCTTTTAAGGAATCTCCATACTGTCTTCCATATTGGCTGTATCAATTTACATTCCCACCAACAGTGCAAGAGCGTTCCCCTTTCTCCACACCCTCTGCAGCATTTATTGTTTGTAGACCTTTTTATGATGCCATTCTGACAGGTGTGAAGTGGTATCTCTTTGTAGTTTTGATTTGCATTTCTCTAATAATGAGCAATGTTGAGCATCTTTTCATGTGTTTTTTAGCCATCTGTATATATTCTTTGGAGAGATGTCTGTTTAGGTCTTTCCCCACTTTTTGATTGAGTTGTTTATTTTTCTGGCATTGAGTTGGATGAGCTGCTTGTATATTTTGGAAATTAGTCCTTTGTCAGTTGTTTCATTTGCTATTACTTTCTCCCATTCTGAGAGTTTTCTTTTCACCTTGCTTATAGTTTCCTTTGCTGTGCAATAGCTTTTAAAATTAATGAGGTCCTACTTGTTTATTTTTATTTTTCTTTCCATTACTCTTGGGGGTGGATCATAGAAGATCTTGCTTTGATTTATGTCATCGAGTGTTTTGCCTATGTTTTCTTCTAAGAGTTTTATAGTTTCTGGTCTTACATTTAGGTCTTTAATCCATTTTCAGTTTTTCTTTTTGTATGGTGTTAGGAAGTGTTCTAATTTCATTCTTTTACATGTAGCTGTCCAGTGTTCCCAGAACCATTTATTTAAGAGGCTATCTTTGTCCCATTGTATATTCTTGCCTCCTTTGTCAAAAATAAAGTACCCATAGGTGTACAGGTTTATTTCTGGGCTTTCTGTCTTGTTCCATTGGTCTATATTTCTGTTTTTGTGCCAGTACCGTACTGTCTTGATGACTGCAGCTTTCTAGTATAATCTGAGTCAGTAAGGTTGATTCCTCCAGCTCCATTCTTCTTTCTCATGACTGCTTTGGCTATTTGGGGTCTTTTGTGTTTCCACATGAAACACAAAATTTACAAAAAATGTGAAATTTTTTGTTCTAGTTCTGTGGAAAATGCCTTTGGTAATTTGATAGGGGTCACATTGAATCTGTAGATTGCATTTGGTAGTATAGTCATTTCACAAGATTGATTTTCCCTACCCAGGAACATGGACTATCTCTCCACATGTTTATGTCATCTTTGATTTCTTTCATTAGTGTCTAATAATTTTCTGTGTAGAGTTCTTTTGTCTCCTTCCTTAGGTGAGTTTATTCCTAGATATTTAATTCTTTTTGTTGCAATGCTGAATGGGATTGATTCCTTAATTTCTCTTTCTGATTTTTCTTTGTTAGTATATAGAAATGCAAATGATTTCTGTGTATTGATTTTGTATCCTGCAACCCTGCTAAATTCACTCATTAGTTCTAGTAACCTTCTGATACTATCTTTAGGGTTTTCTATATACAGTGTCATGACATCTGTTAACAGGGAGAGTGTTACTTCTTTTCTGATCTGGATTCTTTTTATTTCTTTTTCTTCTCTGATTGCTGTAGCTAAAGCTTCCAGAAGTATGTTGAATAGTAGTGATGAAAGTGGGCACCCTTGTGTTGTTCCTGATCTTAGGGGGAATGTTTTCAGTTTTTCACCATTGAGAATAATGTTTGCTGTAAGCTTATCATTTATGGCCTTTACTATGTTGAGGTAGGTTTCTTCTATGCCCATTTTTTGAAGAGTTTTAAAAATTAAATAAACATAAGAATTATAAAAAATAGAAAAAGAAAAAGAAAGGAGGAAATAAAAAAGGAAAACTTCATAGAACTGCAAAAGCCCAACGTAGAGGCAGAGATTTATAACAATAAAAAGTGTTGGGCACACACACACACACACACACACACATATATATATATATACACACACACCCATAAGCAAAATCAAAACAGTCCAACAAAAATAAAGTACGATAGATTGACCCAGTGAACAAAGGAAACCAAAGATTATATCTACCAGAACAAAACCAACTGAAGCACAAACTGGAAAACTAAACTGAAGCAGGGTGCCAAAAGCAGTGAAAATAAAACTAACATATATGTTGAGAGGAAAGGAAAGAAAGAAAAGAAAAAAAGGATATGCAAAGTTAAATAGAAGTAGGTTAAGAAGATTTACATACATGAAGCTGAAACTCCAATACTTTGGTCACCTCATGCGAAGAGTTGACTCATTGGAAAAGACCCTGATGCTGGGAGGGATTTGGGCCAGGAGGAGAAGGGGACGACAGAGAATGAGATGGCTGGATGGCATCACCGACTCAATGGACATGAGTCTGAGTAAACTCTGGGAGTTGGTGACGGACAGGGAGGGCTGGCGTGCTTCAATTCATGGGGTCGCAAAGAGTCGGACACGACTGAGCAACTGAACTGAACTGAACTGAAAGATTAACTGCAAGGGGAAAAGAACAGTAGGAAAATCAAACAAAGGAATAAGTGTAGAAAAAGTAGTAATAGGTTTAAAGAATTAAAAATTGAAATTAAAAAAAAAGAAAAAAGAAACAACAACAACAAAAAAGGAAAAACTCCACAGAACTGCAAAAGCCCAACCTAGGAGCAGAGGTGTATAACAACAATAGAAAATGTGACTGAGTGGGGAAAAAAAGCTCAAAAGCTTAATTAGGTTTCATAGTGCCAATAAAATTGACAACTACAACAGAGGGGTAAAAGAAGGGGTGGGGGGAAATCCAAAAGAATCTATGGAACAAGTCAAAACATAAGAATAATAAATGTTATTCTTGAGTCCCTGCTGTCAGCATCCTTTCCCTCGCTGGGATTCACAGTCCCCCTCACCTCCCTGGGATGCCCTCCAACACTGTGCTGATCTCTGTACCTGCTGTGGGGCAGCTCAGATTCTAATCTGGTCCTGCTCCTGTGTGTTCTTGCCTCCAATGTCCACAGCTCTCAGAACTAGTGTGTTTTCTTTTGTGGGAGCTCTCAATGTCCTTTTATATGTTCCACAGACAAAGAGTCCACCTAGTTGATCGTTTGGATTTAATCTTCAGCTTGTAGAGCTGGTGGGACTGTTTTGGGTCTTCTTCCTTAGCCACACTGCCCCTGAGTTTCAATTGTGGTTTTTATTTCCACCTCTGCGTGTGGGTCGTCCACTGGGGTTTGCTCCTGAGGCTGCCCTGGAGGACTTGGGTTTGCCCTGTGAGGGCCAGGTGTGGAGGTGGTGCGGCGGTTTCTTTGGCGGGGTTTTTGGCGGCCCCGGTTCTTCGGGGGGTTTGGGGGTTGGGGCGGCGGGGGTTCCGTTGTTTTGGAGGGTGTTGCCACCTTTTTTTGGCCATTGGGTTTTGTTTTTTTTGCTTGGGGGCCCCCTTTCCCCCGACATAGCGCTTGGCAGGCCACAGTCTACAGGGTCACACAGAGTTGGACACCACTGAATTGACCCTGCACGCATGGATGCAAGACTATTTTTTGCCTGTGGCAGCTCTGCCCCAGTGAGTTGAGCGTGAAGGTGGCACAGCTGCTTGGCTTTTAGGGACCCTGGCTGTGCCAAGTGTGAAGGGACATGGACTGCCTCCACCACAGGAGTGATGGCCCTATCAGAGTCTTTTATCAAGCCTCTTGTAGCTGGCGATGAGAAGCCATCTTTGGCTAGTTTTTCTCTATAGCTCTGCCCATTCAGGCCCTTAGAGGGCTCCCTTGCCTGGGGTCCTTCTCCGTTGTTCGGCATGTCAGGCACATAGAGGGGCCCCTCTGGCTGGGGTCCTAGTCTGTAGATCAGTGTCAGGCACTTAAAGGGGCACCCTGGGTGGGGTCCTGCTCTGTAGATCAGTGTCAGGCACTTAAAGGGGCACCCTGGGTGGGGTCCTATTCTGTAGATCAGTGTCAGGCACTTAAAGGGGCACCCTGGGTGAGGTCCTGCTCTGTAGTTAAGTGCATCAGGCATTTGATCGGCCAGCCTCTCTATTGTTCAGCTGCTGATGCTGGCGATGCTGGCGTGTGGGAAGAGAGAGGCTGTGGTGATGGCTCCACCCTCTATCCGTGGCTCAGCAGTATCACCTTGCTTCCATGGCTGCCTGGCTTTCCTCCACAGGCATTTTGCACCACAATCTCCTCCCTCACCTTCTCTTCCTCTGTCTCTCCACAGTCCATAGCGGCCCTCACCCTGGGATCCCTCCACAATCCCCACAATTCAGCTCCCAGCCACTGCACCTTCCAGGGGACCCGTGACCCTGTCTGGGGTAAGTATGGCTGTGGCAAAGACTTTATTTAGGCTGCCACAGATCAGCTGTTTCACTCTCAGCCTCGAATGTTTCTCCTCTGACTCAGACAATTGCCCGGATGTGGGAATCAAACCCTTGCTTCTGTTCTCCCACCCACTGAGGGCAAGTCCAGTCCTACTAACACTCCTGTTTTTCCCTAGTTCCTTTGTCCTACCGAATTTTGCGTGGGTCTATATATTCTTTTCCTCTGGTCAGGTACTCCTGTCTGCTCTCAGCTGGTGTTCTGCATGCATTTCTGTGTCTGAAGGTGTGTTCCTGATGTATCCATGGAGAGAGATGTACTCCACATCCACCTACTCCTCCACCATCTTGTTCTCTTCCAGGTAAGAAGAAAAACTCTTAAGCATTATTCAAAAATCTATGTACAAAATAACATATAAGAAATCCAAAAATGATTGTTAAAATTAATTTTTAAAGTTATTTTCTATAAGCAAGCACTAGTATAAAATTATTTTAAGATTAATTTACTTGTTTAATTGTAATATAAATGAAAATCATACCTTCTAATTGAAGTTGGGAATGATTTCTTTTATCTGAGATTTCAAATTTGGAAAAAAAGATCAAATAAGAATATTTGTTGTCTTTAAAAGAGTCACTTGGCAAAATAATTAGTAACTGTCATGTTTTTATTTGAAGACTTGGTCTCCCCAAAATGTCAAAAATATGCAGAGCCCTTTGCCTGTATTCTCACTTTATTTGCATCTACCAAGTCAAATTGCTGTTAGGGCTATGAAAAACAAGACTCTGAATTTGAAGATCTTCTCCAGATGATGACTAACAACTAACAAGGTGCTCTATCTTTTATGGGACTGACTGAGACCCTGGGGACTAGATTTACAAGGATCCTAGACAGATGTCAGAAAGAAGCACATCCTGGGAAGATCCAATCCTTCCTGTCCTTTGCACTGAGACAGCATTGAGAGTTTGAGGGGCAGAGATCCTTCTTCTAAGTACCCTAGCAGCAGCGCCAGCACATTGCTTGCCCATACACTTCCAGCCCACAAGGGAGTGTTTTCAACTATCTGGGCATCATTTAGAGTGTTCCAACAACCAGCTCTCATACTCTGTGGATTAACAAAGGAAAAAAAAAACTCAACCATTTAAGGAACCCCAACAAAGAGAATGATTAGTCAGTATCTCAGTCCAAGTCCAGTTAGGAGACAGAAATCATACCAATTTTTTTTAACAGAGAGAATGTGAAATGAAGAATGCTTAATGATATGTAAAAACAATGTAAATTAGGTAACTGAAAACCAAAAGGAGAACTCTGGGGTCTCATGGGCTTCCTGGGTGGCAGTAGTGGTAAAGAACACGCCTGCCAATCCTGGAGACATAAGAGACATAGGTTCAATCCCAGGGACAGGAAGATCCTCTGGAGGAGGGCAGGGCAACCCACTCCAGTATTCTTGCCTGGAGAATCCCATGAGCAGAGGAGCTTGGGAGGCTGCAGTCCATAGTGTTGCAAAGAGTTGGACATGACCGAAGTGACTTAGCATGCACTTACGCTAGGGTCTCATGGAGGGAGAAATTTCAAGTAAGCAGGTCCTACCCATAGGGCTGGGCTTAAAGGAAAACACTTAGAAATATTAAAACTTGGGGTAGAGGCCCCACAGAGCTAAAATTCAGACCTCTTAGAAAGGGATCTTATTCCACCAGTCATGGTATATTTGAGCGGGAGAAGGGGATCCCATGGGGCTGGAACCCAAACTTCTAAGGAGGGGTGTCAGCCATCTGGTGATGGTATATATGAAGCAAGGTGATAAAGCTGGTCTTGTCATAGTTGGAAAGACTACAAACAAGGTTCAACTGCTACTGTGGATGAACACAGCTGCTACCAAGGTGATGAAGCCTCGCTAGGGCAACAAAAACTCAGAAAGAAACAGGAAGTTGGCAAGAAGAAAACAGAAAATAAGAAGTCACTTCTTTCTCCTGCTTACAATCTCTCTCTCTCTCTCTCTTTCTCTCTCTCTCTCGTACCCCTATTGACAAAGCTTTAAGGGGAACAGCTGACAAAGCAGAATGAAGTTAGTTGAACTACAGTCTCAGGATCAAAAGCCATGTGCAGAAGGGGAGTTTGAGAGCTGAAGTGCCTTATCTTCATAACTGAAACAGAAAGAAGTAGAACACATACAGACAAATAGAGTAGCCAGGAGAGATAAATGGAAATGGAAAAAAAAATAGAAAAAATAAGGTAATTCAAATAAAGGAAAAAATAATCTTTCTATAGATTAGAGAAATAGTAATTTAAAAACACTATCTTCTAAACAAATCACCTGATGAATTGAAAGAAAGGTTTCCACTGAGATTTAAACCAGTGATGTGGAAAATCAAGTTAAATAAGTAACACAAAGCATAGGACAAAGTATAAGTAGATTACTCCATTCCCTATACAGGTATCTGTTGACCATGAAAATAAAAGTAGATTGAAATACTGACCAAAGGGAAAAAAATGCAAGACAAATGAAACCAAGATCCCAGAGAGTTAATGTGAATACTAGGAATTCTAGAAGAAGTAAAATGAACAAATAGAGGGGAAGAAATAATCAGACAAATAGTAGAAGAAAGTTTAAGTTTAACTTAATCAGATTAAGTTTCATTGTGTTTGGTAAATGAAACTTTTTTTTCATTTACTAATGTTAAAGCCTAGGAATAAAAGTCTTAAACTGAAGATAAAGAAACATTTACAAGTTTCCAGGCATATAGAAAAAATACCATCAAGAGAAAAATATAAAAAAAAAAGAGAGACAAAAATTTTTAAGCTTGCACTAGGATTCTCACCCAAAATCTGGGACGATAAAAGCTATAAGAAGGATTCTGTTAGTTGATTATGAAGAAAAAGGACTATAACTCAAAAAGTCAAATAATTGAAGAGTAAATACATACTCAGTTCCTCATAAAAAATGCAATGATAAAATTTTCAGCATCAGTCAAGTAAATAAACAACATAGAATTAACAGTGAACAGTCGGTGGCTTCACTGATGGCTCAGTGGGTAAAGAATCTTCCTGCAATGCAGGAGACACCGGAGACGTGGGTTTGATCCCTAAGCTGGGAAAATCCCCTGGAGAAGGAAATGGCAACCCACTCCAGTGCTCTTGCCTGAGAAATCCCAAGTACAGAGGAGCTTGGCGGGCTACAGTCCAAAGGGTCGCAAAGAGTCAGATACGACTGAGTAAATAAGCACACACGAACTGTTTTAATCGAGCTGATAGTGATTGCACTGACTCTGTAGATTGCCTTGGGTAATATGGACATTTTATCAATATTAAGTCTTCCAGTCCATGAGCAGTGTATATCTTTCCATCTGTTTGTATCGTCTTCAATTTCTTTCATAAGTGTCCTGTGGTTTTCTAAGGATGTCTTTCACCTCCTTAGTAGGTGTATTCCTAGGTATCTCCTTTTATTTTATTGTTCCCGTCCCATGTCTGAAAAATTTTAATTTTGTTACCATTCTGCTTTACATCTTGCAATGTCTTTCTAATTTTATTCACCATTGATTAGTTTCTTAAAGCTTTGTAGAAATAGGGCTTTAGGGATTAGCTTTCTCTGCTGTATTCAGGGACATAAATATGTGAATTGGAGGGAGGAGACTATTTATTCACAGGTGGTCACTGCTGAGTCCAATAGGCTAAGGAAAGCATTCTCATTTTATTTTTAGAAAGGTTTTTATATGAGGTCTGTTTTGTTATAAATGGTAAGGGATGCCTGCTTATTTAGAAGGATTGCACAAGAAAAGAGTAATTCACAATTTTATGAGCACAAAGTTCAAAAAATTAGATTGCTTTAAAAGTATATGCAGGACATAATGGAGAATAAATGACAGTATAAGGGGCAAAGGGCTCTACTGGGAAAGCCACACTTAATGATCAGCTAAGCTGCCTGTGTTACTTATAAGGTGCTGAGGGAAAAATTATGAAAAGGAATTTTTCCTTTTCCATTCTCTTTTCATCTGCTTCTTTTTTTGTGAAGTATGTGTACTTAAACGCCACTGGAACAGACCAAAGCTGTCAATAAAGCTATATTAATTACTAGATAATCCACCACTATAGCCTGCCTCTTCTCTCACTTGGCTTTTAGTATTGACCTTGTCTTTATAGCTCTAGATGAATAGAGGATTCAGGATCACAGAATATGTGCTCACCAGGCTTTTACTTTAACTTTTGCATGTATTGCCTTCATTTTTAAGGGAGATCAGTCCTCGGTGTTCATTGGAAGGGCTAATGTTGAAGCTGAAACTCCAATACTTTGGCCATCTGATGTGAAGACCTGACTCATTTGAAAAGACCCTAATGCTGGGAAAGATTGAGGGCAGGAGGAGAAGGGGACAACAGAAGATGAGATGGCTGGATGGCATCACTGACTCAATGGACATGGGTTTGGGTGAACTCCGGGAGTTGGTGATGGACAGGGAGGCCTGGTGTGCTGCAGTTCATGGGGTCACAAAGAGTTGGACACAACTGAGCAACTGAACTGAACTGAACTGAATGTCAACAATAATCAAACTTCATTAACGTTGCAAAATATGTCATTCCAGACTTGTTTCTAAACACATGAGAAAAAGTGAAAATGTTAGTCTCTCAGTCCTGTCCTACCCTTTGTGACCCCATACCCTATAGCCTGCCAGGCTCCTCTGTCCATGGGATTCTCCAAACAAGAATACTGGAGTGGGTAGCCAATCCCTTCTCCAGGGGATTTTCCTGACCCAGGGATCATATGCACGTCTCTTATATTGCAGGTGGATTCTTTACCGTCTGGGCCACCAGAGAAGCTAAACATATGTGTATACATAAATGAATGAGGTATGAATAAATGAGAAGTGAATGTGAATAAATGAATAATTTAGCAAAATGAGAAATTATATAAGTTTGTGTATATGTGTGTGTGTGTGTATCAGTTCAGTTTAGTCCCTCAGTCGTGTCCAACTCTCTTTGACCCCCGAGGACTGCATCATGCCAGACTTCCCTGTCCATCACCAACTCCCGGAGTTTGCTCAAACTCATGTCCATTGAGTTGATGATGCCATCCAACCATCTCACCCTTTGTCATCCCCTTATCCTCCTGTCTTCGATCTTTCCCAGCATCAGGGTTTTTTCTAACAAGTCAGTTCTTCACATCAGGTCGCCAAAGTATTGGAGCTTCAGCTTCAACATCAGTCCTAATGAATATTCAGGACTGATTTCTTTTAGGATTGACTGGTTTGATCTCCTTGTAGTCCAAAGGGACTCTCAAGAGTCTTCTCCAACACCACAGTTCAGAAGCATCAATTCTTTGGCACTCAGCTTTCCTTATGGTCTAACTCTCTCATTCATACATGACTACGGGAAAAATCATAGCTTTGAGTATATGAACCTTTGACAGCAAAGTAATATCTCTGCTTTTTAATATGCTATCTAGGTTTCTAATAGCTTTTCTTCCAAGGAGCAAGCATGTTTTAATTTTATGGCTGTAGTCCCCATCTGCAGTGATTTTGAAGCCCAAGAAAATAAAGTCTAACACTATTTCCATTATATATAGATAAAAACCTGTTTTTTCATTTGATCACAAACTCTGATTATCTCTTAATCTCAGTAAATGTAGAAATAAATTATTATTAGGATACACTATTTAATGGTAAAGAAACACACGTCTTTTCTGAACTTCAGCCTAACCACCTCTTACTCATGGTTTGATTTTACTTGATTAATTGCATATGAAATATTCAGCTTTTATAGGCCTTCTTGCAATATTAATTATAAAAACTAATTAAAATTCCAAATAATTGCATTCTCTCTTCATTGTATTCATAGAGCAGCGATTTTTATTATCTAGTCCAAGAATCAGAAAACTTCTGTAAAGAACCAGATAGTAAATATTTTAGGCTCACAAGCTATACAGTCTCCGTGCAACTTCTTGACTCTGCTGTTGTAATGCAAAAGCAGCCAATAACAATACATTAATAACTAAGCATGGATTTGTTTCAATAAAATGTATATACAAAAATCATCACTGGTATCCCTTATATGTGGAATCTAAAAAGAAAGGATACAAATGAATTTACAAAACAGAAAGAGACTCACAGACTAAGAAAACAAACTCATGGTTGCCAGGGAGAAGGGATAGTTAAGGATTTTGGGAAGATCATGTACACACTGCTATTCTTAAAATGGATAACCAACAAAAACCTATTGTATAGCACATGGAACTCTGCTCAATGTTATGTGCCAGCCTGGATAGGAGGGAGTGTTGAGGGAGAGTGGATAAATGTATATGTATGACTGAGTCCCTTCACTGAAACTATCACATTGTTAATTGGCTGTATCCCAAAATAAAATGTTTTTGGTGTTAGAAAAAAATAAAAAATTAAAAGGAAAAAAAAGACAAGAATGTGGGCTCTAACAAGAGGTGCACGCACGGGACTATGTAAAAAAAAAAAAAAAATACTGTCAGTAGTATGAATTGACCAGTTTTAACCTAGCCCTATTTTGCTGGTAAAACCAAGGATTTGAAAGCTTAAAGAATTTTGCTGATGATCTTGAAGCTAGTACATGTGTCTGTAAAACCCTAGTCCAGTGTTTCCTCTATATCCTGAAATACCAACTTTTATTTTTTTGTCCTTCAATTCTAATGGTATATCACCCCCCAAAAAAATATACATTTTTATTCCGAATATTTGATTTATCAATTCTAATTTTGGAATATGTTTAGAATTATTTCTAAACACCTCTGCTCCCATCATTTTGCCACACCACCCTCATTTATCACTTGGGTAACTGCTATATCCTTGCACCTCTGTCTCTGCTGCAAACTTTGCTTCACTTAAGTCTCATTTTCACAGGGACACAAAAGTGATCCCTTAACAGAGGAGTCAGGGCACTCCTAAACTGAATAACTCCTTGTCACTGCATTAGTCCCTCCATGACCTGGCCCTCTATTGCCTCTGACGTCATCTCCCAGCACAGCCTCCTTAATTCTGCCTCCGCAGCCTCAGTGACTTTTCCTTCAAACACTCCAGGCCTCAGGAGCAGGTATCCACATTCCGCATTTCCTCACCTATTTCAATGTTAACTCAAACGCCACATTCTTAGTGAGGTTTCCCCAGGTTGCTGTGTCTAAGTCGTGATAGCTCTCAGGCACATTTAAGACACACACAAGATTCCTTCTTGCTTTATTTTTCCACTTTGCATTTATATCAGTATTTTTTTAGGTGTAAAACACCCACCCACGAGATTATAAGCTTGATACGTGCAAGGATTTTTATCTGTTTTATTCACCACTTCATTCCAACACTTAAATCAATGTATGATTGTTCAGTAAATAATTGTATAATAAATGAATGAATATAAAAGTCTGGCTGACTCACAATTAACCTTGAGTGCTGAGCATACTGAGTTTAAAGTTCAAAGTAATTTGGGGTTTGCCTCCCTTAATGATCCAAGAAAGAGATTTGAAGCAACTGTTTATTTATATATTGGAAAGGTGAAGAAATGAGGGGTGTGGATATCTGCCCCTGAGATAGAGGTACCTGAAATGTTTGAGGAAATAGCAGGGAGACCTGAGGGTTGCTGAGGCAGAGTTAAAAAGGTTGTGGTAGGAGATGAAGTGAAAAAGTGGTAGACAGCCAGATGGTGAAGGGCCTTAATGCAGTGATAAACATTTACAGGGTATATATATAATATTTTTAACAGTCCCCAATGTCAAGTATCCTTTCCTAAAAAATATTTAAAATGATAAGCATGGAAGAATGGCAAGTTCATTCTGAATCTCCAATAAACTTGAATTCTTGAAGACAAGTACGTATTCCTTAAGACTGTTATCTGAGAAGTAAAAAAACTTACTCCTTAACTTTTGAAGCTACATTTCTGCAGATCTAAACATTAAGATTAATTTAAGGGGTATACAAATCTCAAATTTAGATTTGGAAAGTAGTTTCCTGAAGTTTGCACTAAAAACACTGCAAACAAAATTTGGCTTTGGGGGTGAAGGAGGGGGAGAAGTGCTATAGAAATCACCCCGCAATCTTATACCCTTGGTACTTTGCCACGTTTAATTTCGAAGGCATTTTCTGGCATCCTTCTCAGATTCTTCCACACACCATATTTACATTAATTACACTAAGACACGTAATTATAACTCGTGGCTAATTTGTTTTTAAAAAGAAGAGAAAGAACCCACAACAAGAAGCGTGTTAAAAATAAGACTGAGAATATAATTTAAGTATTAAACTTAAACCATTTAGTGTCAAAATACAGGTTTCTATCCTAAACCACTTTAAGTCTACATCAATTGCAACATGACTTGATTTGCCTGAACAATAAAAGACTAAACTTTTACAGGAAGTGACTAAAAAATGTACCTATGTTTTTATATGTATTTTTTAAAAAAATAGCTTCATCTGAGTGTTTCTATGTGCATATAATGGCACTATTGAAAAAGATTTGTCATTATTATGCTTATTCTTAAGTCAGTCAATAGCTTACATGAAATTAATGAATGAATTTTCAGATATTGTAATAGAATAGTTTTGCTCCAGACACACAGTACAAAAAATACCCTAACCATTGATGTTTTTAAAAGGTGTTTGAAGTTTTACAGTGTTTTTTTAATTTCATAATATATTCAGTATATAACACATTTTTAACTTTAAACTTATTGCATAATAAATTTTTAAATCTTGATATAAGTGTCATTGTGCTATGTTTATGAAGGCTAGAATGCTGTTTATTTTTTTATATGTGGAGGTTCTAAATTACATATTTTCACATTTAAAAATTTAGTAATAATGTTTCTAATTGGATTTTTCCAACACAATACCCTTAATATATATTACTCATACAAATTGAAAAGAAACTAACTACAATTCAGCTAGGCAAAAGCAGATAAAATTCATGGAAAAAGTACAGTTAACCAATGGATTTAATGTACAATAATTTTAACCATAATCATCTTAAGGACATTTAGCCATAAATATAAATATAATATATATATAAATGTTATTTTGTGAAAACTTGCTCTAAAATGGACAGTCTTGATTACCTAATTTTAAGGTTGCCATTCATCTGACCACTGTGAGTTGGAATTATTCTTTTACCAGCAGAACCATTAGAAATTACTGCTTATTGCTGCCATATAGCTCTTTTGTATTTATCACTAAGTGGGTAAAGACACAAGAGACACATCATTCCTTCATTCTAGAAGTTAAATTCTAAAAGCAGTTTGCTGTCCTTCAGTATGCGTGCTGCGCTCTGTCATGTCTGAATCTCTGTGACCCCATGGACCGTAGCCCACCAGGCTCCTCTGTCCATGGGATCTTACATGCAAGATTACTGGAGTGGGTTACCATTTCCTCCTCCAGCGGATCTTCCCAACCCAGGGTTCCAACCTGTGGCTCCCGCACTGCCTGCACTGCGGGCAGATTCTTTATCGCTGAGCCATGGTCTTTAAGTGTGAGTGAGTGAGTGAGTGAGTGAGTGAAGTCGCTCAGTCCTGTCCGACTCTTTGCGACCCCATGGACTGTGGCCTACCAGGCTTCTCCATCCATGGGATTCTCCAGGCAAGAACACTGGAGTGGGTTGCCATTTCCTTCTCCAGGAGATCTTCCCATCCTAGGGATCGATCCCAGGTCTCCTTTATTGCAGGCAGTTGCTTTACCCTCTGAGTCATCAGGGAAGCCCGGTCCTTAAGTATAGCTGCCTCTAAAACACAGTAATATCTGCATGTGCACACTTAACAGGATTCCTGACAAGTCTAGTTAATTTAAAATTCACTCATTTCAAAATGGGTAGATTTTTCTTATGATACAATACTGCGGTTTTTAATAAGAAATACATAATGCTGCATATATGAAGACATATGTAGTAGATAGTGACAAAATAATTGAAATTATATTAAGTATGTGTTTCCCTTGATAAAAATTAAAGAGTTCAGTTTCAAGTTCTTATGATAAAATAAATAACCTAGTAGCTTAATATTTATCATTTAAAAGAATTTAACTAGGTTCATTTTCTAGTGTTTCAGATCCAGGATAAGGAACTCAGGTTACCAACTGATCGGTGATGATGAGGATTACATCAACTGAAAGCAGTAGGTGTATGTTAAAAATTATAGAAAATATGGGGAAAATGTTTAAGACAAACTTGAAAACACTCTTGAAAGCGAAGTAGTGACCACAAAGTCACATGACTTAAATTCAAGATTATCTGGTTAAAAAGAAAAAGAAAATTCAACCAAATAAAAGCCAAAGGGCTCTTACCATGCCCCCACCCTGAAAAGTGGGTGAGAACATTTTATGTCAAAGCAAATATTCTTTAAGCTGAAAGAGAGCTCTGGATGGATGTTGGGGAGGTGAAAGGGCCAAGCAGTCATGTACAGTGAGACTGCTCCCTTCATGTCCATTCTGCCAGTCATCCCTGAGAAGCTGGTATGGTGTTTAAAGAAGTAGTGGCATATAGCTCCTCTTTTGGGGATTTCCTATCCATTTAGGTCACCACAGAGTACTGAGTTGAGTTCTCTGAGCTTATAAGTATATTCTCATTAGTTCCCTATTTAATAATAAGTATCAGTAGTGTATATATGTCCATCCCAAACTCCCAATTCACTTTGCTGTACGGTTGAAACTAACACGACATTGTAAAGCAACTATTTTCCAATAAAAATTAACTTAAAAAAGAGAATATCCGCTTGGGAGATAAACGTAATTGATCTAAGGATGAATATATCCCCCCAACACACCTGTCATTGATTTATTGATACTTATTTACGTATGAGCATGTGTTCCAATCTTGACCAGAGATATGAGAAAACCCCAGCCAGTTCAGTGATACTAAATCCAAGTCAGCACTGGCCCAGGGCATGAATATTAACACCATTTGTGTCCCTGGGACATTAAATGTAAGTGTAAATGCATTAATTAACTGTAAATGCTTGTACATTTACTTTCTTAACCAGTGTGCTAGAGGGCACCCTGTCACTTTGGTAGGGGTGTGTGTGTGTGTCTCAGTGGGGAGTGGAGGGTGAGAAGGAGGGTCCTCTGTCCATACCTCCTAGGAGGGGCCCCTGCCATCTGATCCCATGTGATCCATCATTGATTACCTTTGATCAGTAATGTATTCATTGGAGTCCACACCAGGCATGGATGTGGGCTCTGAATGTTTCGTCATATTCCTTCAGTTCCGTGGATTCGAAATGAACTCATCATTGGTGTGGAGCTTCCCAGCTGGCTCTAGTGGTAAAGGACCCATCTGCTAATGCAGGAGACCTGAGATGCAGGTTCAATCACTGGGTTGGGAAGATCCCCTGGAGGAGGGCATGACAACCCACTCCAGTATCCTTGCCTGGAGAATCACATGGACAGAGGAGCCTGGAAGGCTACAGTCCATGGGGTCACAAAAGGTCAGACACGACTGAAGCAACTGAGCACATCCTTGCTGAGAGCATCAGAATCCTTGAAGAGCTTGTTCACAATTAGGAAACATTTGCAATGTCACCCCAGAGTTACAGTCAGCTTTATTCTTTTTCACCTCCACGTGGGAGTTTAAGTTTCAGGACAAGCAAAGAGCTCTCTATTTTTAGAAGAAATGCATTACATTCCAAAATGGTGAGATTTCTGGAAACATTTTTCCTCAAAGATAACATTGGGAAGCCATGCCCTTTTCCTCACGTTATACACAAAGAATGAAGAATGAAGCTCAGACCCTAATGTCGCTGGCAGCAATAACCGAAGTTCCTCAACCTTAGGATAAAGCCAACTTTTATATTTGAACTGAAAAACCAACTAATCCTAAAATGAAGCCTAATTCTGGAGTGCTAGTCATATGAGTTAAGATTTAATGTCTTTACTCTTTAAGTCAATTTGATTTGTGTATTATTTGCAGCTTCAGACATTGTAAGTGATACAGAACTTGGTAGACATTTGGCTCAAGATGAGAATTAAGCATGAGTTTGACAAAGCTATGACCCATAAAAGAAAAAGCCATAGTAACAATTTTAAAGCATTTAGAACCTATAAAATAAAGCATGAAGTGAAGGCACATGTTCTGTTCTTATCTGTAGAGAGTCCTGGAAAGCTAAAGCAACAGCTGCCATCTGATCCTTAAATGATCACCAACTCTCTGATTACCTCCTACCTGAGATTTAGTGTGCAGATTCAACCTTTAATCTGGATTGTGGGGAGAACTTCATGGTTTACATTTTGAACTCTGCTTGGAAACCTCTTTGAAGATCAGCCAGAACATTATGGTAGTGCAAATAACCTGCAGAAGCTTACAGCTGTCCTACTGTACTTCATGCTGAGCAAGCAGTCATTTTCCCAATGTGATAAAAATCTGATTACATTTGAACATCTCCTTCTACAGATTATTATGTTCTTGTCACCAAAATATACTAATCTCCTCTCTAGTATTTCTGATTTTCATAGCAGGGGAGTGCTAAAAGTCTGTTTTCCTCTTAAGAATCAAGTGTTCTTTTTTATTTGGGATAGCAACTGACATGCATGGTTCTACAACACAACATTTGCTATTTTGTTTTGCCTTATATATACAGATGGTTGGCCACAATATATTATGTGTGTGTGTGTGTGGGTTAGTTGCTCAGTCATGTCCAACTCTTTGTGATCCCATGGACTGTAGTCTGCCAGGCTCCTCTGTTCATGGAATTCTCCAGGCAAGAATACTGGAGTGGGTAGCCATTTCCTTCTCCAGGGGATCTTCCCAATGCAGAGATCAAACCTGGGTCTCCTAAATTGCAGGCGGATTCTTTACTGTCTGAGCTCCCAGGGAAGCCCTACAATAAAATTTCTATTAAGTTGAACCATATAATGTAGGCCTTATAATGGTTTTCTTTAAGAAAGTTTTATAAATTTTATTCTTGGCTCAATTTTGTAAATTTGTTCTTTTCAGATTGAATAAAAATACATTTTTATTAATACATATTTGAATATTTTTGTGAATACCATTTTCTTCAAAAATTGCTCCACTTTTAAAGTCTAGATTATGAGAGTGCAGAAAACTGTGAGTAGTCACAGTGGAACATGTTTAGTAAGTATAAATGTAGAGTAATTTAAGTCTAATTGGGTGCATGCATGCATGCTCAGTCATGTCTGAATCTTTGCAACCCCTTGGACTGTAGCTTGCCAGGCTCCTCTGTCCATGGAATTTTCCAGGCAAGAATACTGGAGGGTTGTCATTTCCTGCCCCAGGGGATCTACCTCACTCAGGGATCAAACCTGCATCTCTAGTGTCTTCTGCGTTTGAAGGTGGATTCTTTATCACTGTGCCACCTGGGCAAATCATAACTAAAGGCAATAAGTCAAATTAAACTTCCCAGACATTTCAGTTACCAAGAGAAATGTACCTTTATCTTGTGTTTCATATAAAAAACCAAATTATTCCATTCTATTTATGTCATAACAAAGATAACAATTTAAAGCTTAATTATTTCTGTTCTTAACAATACAGACATCAGGAAAACAAATAATAAACAAAAATGAAAAAATAAACTTTTTATAAATAAGAACACTGATTTTGCACACACATTCAGGTTTCAGTGACAGAAAAATGAACATATCTCTGTATTTTACTTTAAAAATAGATTATTAAAGACTAAATTTACAAAAATTACTGTGAATAGGAAGTTAACCGAAGGATATAATTACATTTGTCCCTATTATATGACTCCTAGTTTTGCATTTTTTTCTTTACAGTACTGAACATGGGATTTCATTAAATCACAGCATTTATATATTGCGTAAATAATTTTTCATTGTAAGTTATCAGTTCATACTAAAATCTTTTGGGGGGGAAGTTAGCATTTTGTAAAATACCTGGACATTATATCTCTTCCATTAAACTAAATTAAAAAATTTAAAATTCTACAGAAACAGTACTACTATCTACCATTCCCTTAAACATTGGGGAAAAATTACCTGAAAATTTATTTTGTATTGTAATATTTACCTCTAATGCATAGAAATACACACTCTATAAATATGAAAAATAAATATTAGCAGTGAACAATTTTATGTTGGTTCTTTATTGTCAATTAAAAGTAGTATTTGTCATGTATCAGAAAGTAATTTATATTAGGAAAACATTTAGATGAAAATATAATGCAGCAATACAAATTTTATAGGGCATTATTCATCCTATTGCTAAAACTTACAAAAATAAAAACAGTGATTTGCTTTAATATATGAGGCTGATGTTACTTATTCAACCTCATGTTCTGTGTCTTGTTCCACTAATACCAGTTTGGAGTTTCATCCACCCTCTCCCAGAGGGACTCTATGCATATCTGCGTCAGAACGGGGCTGGAAGTGGTTATATATTCTCTAGCTAGTTTCTCCAGGTGAAACAAATGACCTCATACTGTTATTAAATAAATACTTGATAATGTAGATTATGAAATACTACCACACACTAATCCAAATGCCTGGTGCAGTTTAGAGTTACACACACACATATATTTCCAACTATATCAACCATTAAAGTGTGCTACTTAATCATTAGATATATGTTAAAATGAAAGCATATGGGTTCTAAGGAGGAAATACGCATAATTGAAAACATGAGAAAACATCAATTTGTTGTAGGACATTAAAGGGATGGAAAGAGACATTTTTGGGAAAGCAAATTAGACGCCTAATGAAAAGATGCTCAATCTCATTCTGTTAAAAAATTAAATGCCTCCATGCTAGCAAAATTTTTTAAACTTTGTAATATACAATATTGGTCAGGATATAGGGTAGCAGTCATTAATATACACTGTAGTGGGAGTGGAAATTGGGGCCATATCGGAATCAAACTCATTTGACTCTTTAGGCCAACTTCTAATAGTGCAGATTCCTTTACCATGTATCTTATAAAGATAATATGTATCTTTGCAAATAAATCTTTGAAAAATTATGCCTAAACATATATAGTAAGTATACTCACTCAAAATAGTTTAAAAATAGTGAAAGATGAAAATGCATGTAGTTAGATTTTTTCCTTCTCTTTCATTTCCTCCTTTTTCCCTCCTTAGTATAAGGCTCTATTTTTCTTTCTTTCATTCATCAAATATTAAGCAGAAAGTTTGCTCTGTAAAAA